TCTGGTTCTGACTCCGCATCTGGTTCCATTTTGTCGTCAGGTTCACCCATGCCTGCTACAACATAAGTTTTTGAGGACGGAGACAAAGAGGTCTCGTTCCGACCGTCTGAAAGTCTCCGGGGTCGGCGCCGGTCCCGGTGGTTTCATACGGCTAAAGTACTCCGAGCTTTCATAACGAATGATTTTTTTCTGGGACGTCTTTCGGGTTCGGTGATGTCCACGGGTTCGCTCACCAGTTTTCGGGAGATGACCTCGGCACCGAGCACGCTGTCGAGCCGGTCCAATTTGTACGAGCACTGCGTAGTCAGTCGGTGTAGAACGCGGTTTGCCGGACTCGATCGTCGGGGTCCATGGGGGTTCTTCTTAGTCCCGTGGTCTCCGTCTAGTTCTAGACCGGAGTCGGGGGGTGTGGTCTCTGGGGGTGTGGTCTCTGGGGCTGTGGTCCCTGGGGGTGTAGTCCCTGTTCCACGTTGAATGGATGGCAGGGGGTCGGGTAGATAGCGTTCGACTTCTGAGAAGAAGTAGACGACATTCTGGCCGCGTTCGACGAGTTCAGCAATGGTAGTTTGGTTACGTAGTTTGTTGCCAAGGAATTGCCAGAGGATAACAGAGACCCAAAAGTCGGCGACGGCGAGAGTCATGAGATGTGGTTTGGTCTTGAAACCGGCATCCGGTTTGCAGGATAGGAAGACGACTTCTGTGGGGTATTCTGTGAGGAATTGTCTGACATCGACTAGTACTTCAATGAGGTTGGCGCAACGGTAGCCGCCATGTGCGCAGTAGGGGATCTGTGTTCGGTCTAGTGGGTCGATGCAGACGCGGAGATCAAGGAACCGGACACCCGCGCATAATTGGTCGTAGACGGATTTATCCTGAGTGCGCACGAATGAACGAATGAACTCCATTAACCCCTTTTGCGCCACACCCCTCGCACGATGACTACATTCATAGCTCGCGCTGTCATGACTTCCCGGAATACACACATCCCACACACGTGCGCTACGAACTACCTCCGTCGCCATCCATCTTCGGAGAAAGTCCTCAATGTGCACACTTGCTGTACTCAACAAACCACGCGCTACCGAATTGCCTAATTCAAACCGCCTCCCCTCACTCGTGCCATTTACTCGGTCCACAGCCGGCGCAGAAGCAGCAGATACCGACGAACCCGATGGAGACGACGACGCGGTCGGGGAAATGGAGGAGCTTGGCGATGCCGCAGCCGACGGCCGGCTCCGCCGGCGCCCGGACGACGCAGAGGAAACGGATGACGTATCCCGACGCGCCCGTCGCAACGGCGGCAACAAGTGCTCCAGCGTCCGCCGTCGCGTCTTCTTACGCTCCACCGCGCTCCCGGCACCTTGGGTCTCGGCCTCGGTTTCAGTCTCTTTGGGTTCCGCATCCGCCTCTGGCTCTGCAGGCCCTGTCTCTCCTGCTCCCGGCTCCACTGCTACAGCTTCGTGCTTCGATCGCTGGTGATGCTCCAAATATTTGTGCTCCGAGGCTCGTCTGTTCCCCGCCGACTTTTGTCCTGAAACGCCCACGTGCCGATGCATTTGTCGTGGCGGTCTCCGGGCTTCTTCGGTCCCAAGTGTAACCTCCTCTTCCCCGTCGCGTCTTGGAGCTGCTGTCGGGCTACCGGCCGCAGCCGCGGCCTCGTCCATTCGGGTTCGCGCAGGTGGTGATCCGCGCATGTGGAAAAATCCGAAAAAGGAACGCAGAGACCAGGCAGGGGTCGGAACGAGGAGGGAGAACGTGGAGGGGGAACCAGGAAGGACAGGCAGGGCCAGCGTGTCGGCAACCGCAATCCGGGAAGGGGGGGCGGGAGTTCGCTTCGGAGGGAGGGAGTTCGCTTCGGCAGATTTTTGATGGACCCCCCCGTTGCTGATTTGGAGCGGTGGCTGACGGGGGTGAGTGACCCGCAGGTGGTGGTTGTGGAGCACCCGCGTTTGGTTACCTGGTTGCGACAGTTCGGTCTGAGTTCGATATGTCCGTTGTGGCAGCGTCAGTCGCCGGGCATCCGGTTTCGTGACTACGAGGCGTTCGTCAAGGGTGACCGGTTGGTGAAGCAGAGTCAGGTGGCGTTCCAGACGGCTGCGGCCTGGGCCGATACCGCGGTGGATGCCCCCACTTCCGGCTCGGCCGGGACGGTTGGGGAACACATGTGTGCACACATGTTTGCGGCACCTTTTGTGCGGGCGCCGGCAGTAGTGAGTGGTCCGGCGACGCCGGCGTTGACGGCTGCGATGTTACGGACGGACTGCGTGCGCGAGAGTTTGCGGCGACGCCGGGTGGTGCATGTCGGGAGTGCAGAGGTTGCTCGACTCTGCGGCGAAACGCCGGCGATAAGTTTGCGCGAGGGCTGTGCTCTGGCGACGGCGAGTGGGGCCGTGGTCGATTTGTTTGCAGCAGGCGAGGTGGCGGGCGCGGCGGGGACTCTGCCACTGGCTCTAGTCTTTGCGACGCTGGAAGGAGCGCCCTGTGTCGAGGAATTGCGCGAACTCGGAGCGCTCGATGCTGAACTTGGAGCTGCGCTCAACGACCCTAACCTTCTTGTCGGTCGCTACTATTGCGTTATTGGCCCGCGTGCGACACCTATTGAACTCGATGCAGGTCTTTGCCCCTCCATAAGCGAAGCAGACGCACTTTTGCGACAGCGCTTCACTATGGCCAGCGCCGTTAAGTACATGCATGTTCAAGTCGGCCCAGAAGTTGTCCAGGACGTTACTGCCCAGGACGGTACTGCCCAGGACATTACTGCCCAGCCCCAGAGCCAGGACACTGATCAGAACCAGACCCCCAAGGACGGCGGCTTTCGTGAAGGCGATTCCCGACAAAGCGATCCCCAACAGGGTGGAGCTGGGTGGTCAGACGATGGGCCAAGCATGGAATACGGGCGGTTACCTGGTTGGGCCCGCGAGATGTTGGTGCGAACGCAGGACGCGTTCGACCGGACTCCGTTGAAGAAGAACTCTGTTGTCGCACTGATGGAAGCACGACCCGATGCGTGTCGACACTCGTTGCTCTACTTGGACGAAATTGGTGTTGGCGAAGTCGGGTTACCTGACAGCGCTGAAGCCGAACGACCACGACTACCCGCACAATTGAGCGTCATACAAGCCGCCTGGCTCAAAGACCACTGTTATAGCACCCTCATTCCAGCACGAGTCGATCTTTATGTTCGCCAGATTTCACAACAACAAACCGCCAAACGAACTGGTCTACTCGGAATTCGGAACCAATTTCGTAACCTCGTGGGTAATGAAACGGCACCCACCCGCAAAACCAGTAACGAAGTTTCAGTAAGACTCCCGGCGGGAAAGGGCTGTATGGGGGGTGGTGTAGGCTCATGTTTTGTAGCTGTGTGTTCTGTACCGGCGATTGGGTCAAAGTTACTACTGGAGAGGTGAGTATTTGCGATCGTTGATGGCGTACAAGCAATGCCTGAGTGAGTTACGGGCTGTCAAGTTGCGTGGAGTGGTAGGTGCGTTTGAGGAGAGCGCGTGCGCAAGTCTTATGGCTGCGGTCCAGACGGCAACGCAACACAATAAGCCGAAGGCGGTATACTTGATAGGTGAGACAAGCTTCGTACGGGATGCACTGACTTGGCTCAATGAGCCGACGGAGGACCTGCCGGTGCCCACTCTTATCCGCCATCGAATGCTCGTGGGGCGCATCATGAGTCTGCTCAGCCTTGTCCAACTCTCCAAAGCCTTCCAGCCCACAGCGATACCCTCCCAAACACACGTCGGAGTCGCTATTCGGTACATGGAACTGGCCACCGACTCCTACAACGAAGCCCTCACGCTGTTCGGTACCCAAGACTTCGCCGTCACCCACCTAGCTACTGCTGCCATTTCCGCCCATATCTACCTCCTCCTCTGTGTTGTCTCCTACTATCTCAACCTCTACCATCTAAAAAACACACCCGATCTAAACCTACCCAACCAAACAACTCTCTCTGCAATTCTTGGACTAAACAGACCCATGTTTCCCAGCAGCCCAGACCAGTCCACCCCGCTAACATCTTACGACAACAAACAACAGGTCTTCACCCACCACAAAACCACCAGACAACGCTTCCTATACATGTACATGGCTCTCAAGTCCCTACAGTTCCTCAACAGTAAGTCTCATGCTCATTTCCACATCCTGATATAACTTCATGCCCTTTTCCTCTCCTTCCCTTAACGCGCATTTTCGTCCCGCACATACGAGTGCGCCATCTATTTAGCGCGCGCACACGCGTGTGCTGCTTTATTTGCGCCGTCTCTTTAGAGTCATTTGACTGCCGCTACTGGCTAGATTTATGCCGCAAGGCGCTTCGCTGCGATTGCACGGTTCCTACGGACCAGCGCGGCATAGGACAGTGGCTTTTTGACGACGATGTTTACTTTGGCCGCGAAGACCATTTGGTTTCCGTGTTGGTGGCTGCGATCGCGCGCAACCAGAGTTTCCACCGCGCCCATCGGCACAGTGGTGGGGAGCAGTTCCTGGTGCCCCCGACGTTGTTTGAGCGGGGAAAAAGTTACGATTTTGGTTTCCCGATTCTCGTATCGGATTACTGGTTGCGGACAAGGAAGTATTTGCGGAACGGCGCGGCGCACGAGCTGATACGTCGTGATTCTACAGTGGGAGCTACAGCAGGACCAACAACGGGAGGAACACCTGCAGAAGGGGGAGCATCTGCCGCCGCTGCAGCGGCGGCCGGAAGCCGGCGGCGGTTGTTGTGGATTGTGCAGCAGGTGGACGCGGCCATTCCGTCGTCGCGGATCGTGTATTCGTACGCAATTGTTGTCGAAGGTTCCCGCGTCATTTACGGCAAGCAGTTCTTTGGCGAGGCGAGTGTGTTGACGCCAATTTCTACGCAGTCTTTCGAATGTATGGTCCCCTCACACTTGATCCAAGACGCGGTGGCACTGGACCGACTCTCGGGCGTGGTCCGAAAGACCAAGAAACGGGCACCCAAACCCCGCCCGGTCAATGGCTTTGAGGCCGACCAGGACCTGCGTGTCCGGGTGGCAGTCTACAACCCCTTGCCCGACCAGGTCACCCTCGACGACATACGTATCCTGGGACATGCCACGCCCGCCCCCTCTGCCGCCGCATTCGCCCTCAGTCCGCCTCCCGATCACCATCGGGACCCCCCAGGTCGGAATCTTGGCCCCGGCCGGGAACCCCCAGGTCGATTGGACATCCGCGGGGACCTGCAAGCGCCGCCTTCTGAAGACACAAGTCCGTCGGAGAAGCCGGCGGATAAGCCGGCTCTGCGGACGTCCGTGGAGGTTTGCGGCTTCCGGCGCGTTTTCGCAGCTGGTGCGTTGGCGGTTTACGAAGGCGTGCTTCCGCGCACACACGTGCGCGCCGGCACGGTCGTGATACTGGACGAACTGGTGACCCAGGCCATGGGATGCCGTTTCTCCCAGCGTCTGGTTGCCTCCCCGGCTACAGGCGATGGGCCAGCAACTCCCGGCTCCCCCGCCCCTAGTCCGGGGTTGTTCCCGGTTTCACCCCCGGGGGGGCCAAGCGACACGACCGATTCGGTACCGGGGTTGTCGGGAAGGCAGACACGGATTCTGTGTGCGGATGGGTCGCCTCAGGCCTGTGTGCGTCGAAGTGCGCCGCCGATTTACGTGCAGCCGCAGGCGGTGCGGTTCGAAGTGCTCTCGGCGGCATCCGGTTTCCCGTTTCTGTTCTGTGGCGAAGTGGTGGAGTTGCGGCTGCGCTTACGTCCGGCGCCGCGGCGGGTATTCCTAGCGGGCACCCGGCTTTGGTTGGCTCTGAAGAGCGAGTTACTGGGTGCAGAGCGCAGTTGCTGGCACGCGCGTCTGGAAACGACGGGCGACGCGGAGTTGGTCGCGCGGGTGCAGGCGGAGCCGGGTCCGTACGTCTTGCGTGCAGCCGTGGAGGGCGCGGGTGGCGGCTTGTTTGGGCGCGACGTCTTAGGCCATGCGCGCCCCTTGCTGCAGACCGCGCTGGCTCCAAGCCCGCTCGGCTCCGGCCTCGTCTACGACCTGCGCAACCTCAGTCAAGACGCACCTCTTGCCCTCGCCTTCGCCCATTCCGCGGAAGACGCCAGTTCTGAAGACGCCAGTTCGGAAAAAGCACCCTTGGCGACGAGGAAGGCGCTGGAACCGCGGTGGAGCAACCTCGGCACCCTCGCCCCCGGTCAGTGGACCGGCGGCTACCTCCACCAACCCGACTCGACATCCGCCGGTGCGCCGCCACCGCTCACCGATATAGCGCACGCCATCGCACGACAAACCAAACAACACTTCGTCCACTGGACGCACCTCGGCCCCGGCGAACCGCGCTTCGGCTTCGCGGAAGTACCCACAAACTCCGCCAATCCCTAACTGCATGTGTCCTCTGACCCTACCTGCCCACTAACGCTCCCCGCCTCTCCTGACTTCTAACCCCGGCTTCCAACCCCGGCCGGATCTCTGGTCTCTGCCCGGTCCCTAACCTCTGACCCCTGACGGTAGTGACTTTGCGGGTATGTCACCTGCCCCGATGCCGACCGGGGGGAGTCGGACGGCGAGTTCGAGGCAGCCGTTCCAGGCGACGTAGCGCGAGAACCAGAAGAGCAGGGGCGAGTGTCGCGGTGCGGGGACGCCGGCCACGAGGCAGCAGAAGGCGAGTCGCGGCTCGGTGTACGGGTCGGCCACGAGGCGGCGGGTGGCAGTGCCAGTGCGCAGGGACCCGAGAGCGCCGTCAAGAGCATCGCCGACCGTCGCCCAGCCTTCGGCGCGGAGTGCATCCTGTGCGTGGAACACGACGCACAGTGGGGGTCCGAAGACGTACACTTTGCACAGTAGCCGCACGCCGCGCACCTGGGTCAGACACTGCGGCGCGTCAAAGTTCAGCACTGCAACACGCACGGTACCACATGTGTGCGCTTACACGGGTGTGTATGTGTTTACACACATGTGGGGGTGTGGGTGTGTGTGGCTTGCTGAGGTCTCGGGGCCGTTGATTCTTGCGTTGTTCGATGCGGCGTTGTATGTCACGATCATGGATGGCGTCGTCGCCTTCGTGGTTGATCGCGTGAGCAACGGTTTGGGCGATATTGCTGAGCCAGGCGCTCCAACCGGCGTGATCGACACGGCCGTCGAGTCGCGTGGGCGTGGCGGGACGTCTGCGCCAAAAGCACGCGGCGAAGGCGGGGAGGAGAACGGTTCGGTGGAATCCCTCAAGCGAACGGAAGGACCCTTTGCAGGCGTTTTTGGTGAGGGTTGCGACGGCGCCGGGCAGCGCCTGGCAAGCATGCTCGTGCCAGAGTTCGGACATGGAATCGGCACACTCGCCCACCGAGAACGCCGACCGGAACGTCTCCACGTCCAGTCGCAACAACGCCTGCATCCCCACGTGCGGTTTGCGTCCCCAGCAACTCACACTCTACGGGTGGTGGTCTCTGGTAGTGGTCCCAGGGTAGTGGTCCCAGGTGGTCTGAACGGGTGGTGGTCACCGCTCTTACCAGTTTGATCAGATGGAAAGACAGTTTGGCGTCTTCCCAAATAGTGTTCATTATGCTCGCGGCTTCATCGAAGTATAGATGGGCACGGACAAGTAGAGGTAGGGACTTGGTGAGGTCGGCCAAGACGCCCACGGGCGTCAGCTTGCTGGGAAGGAGTGATTGTTCGGCGGGTGATTGTTTGGCGGGTGCGTGTGGGGCGTGCCAAGTACTCAGCTAGGAAGACCGAGCCAAAAAGCGGGTCGTGGACCCATACCTTGCCAAGGGCAATGGTGGTCCGGTCATGAGGTCGAAGAACCACAAGAGTAGTTAAAGCTAGTTGCACCAGAGTCAGGGTCCTGGGCGCCTGTCTCTACGGTGGTAGTTACCGAGGGAAGTGGTCGGGGCAGCTTGGCCGGGGCAGCCTGGCCGGGGCAGCTTGGCCGGGGCAGCATGGCAGGATCTGCTTACAGAAATTGTGTACGGTTTTTCTGCACCAATGGCAACCGTAAGGAGGACGGGTATGGTCCCATTGATGTCTACGGCACGGCATGTAGTGCAGCCCTTGGGGCGGGTTGGTCGGTCGAAGCCAAGGCGGGTTAGCCCCCCAAGGCGGGGTGTGTGGCTTAGTAGCCCCAGGACTGTGTGGCTTAGTGGGTGTGGGTTAGTTGAATGTGTGTGTAGTTGTACACGTGTGCGTTACTGAGTGCGACGAGGTCTGTGAGTAGGTTGTTTTTGGTTGATTGTAGAAGGTCGACGTTTTCTGAGAGGGTGCGTGGTATTTCCCGCACGCGCGAAAGGTGCATCAAAAAATGAAGGTGTGGTTTCTCGTAGTGGCAGCGTTGAGTGCATTGGCTGGTGCGGATCAGTGCAAGGGCGTGAAAGCGCTCACGACGACGACGACGACAACGGCGGTGACGGACGAACAATGCGCGGAGAAGTGCGCTTCGGCGTTGACGCAATGCAAGGCGAGCAATAAGGAAACGAAAGAGCTGGTTAAATGCATCACGGGGGCGCTGCCGAACACTTGCCAACTCTCCTCGACCGTCGTGGTCAAGAAGCAGACGCCCTGGTACAAAGCCAAGTGGTTCATCGCACTCATGAGCGTCCTCGGCGTTCTCGCCGTTCTCGGTGCCATCTATCACCTTATGGGCCATCCTGGCATCGGTGGCGGCGACACCAACGCCAGAACCGTCGTAGAACCCACCAATCTCGAAGAAGACAGGGAACGACTAATGTAACATGACCAGCGTCCCGAAAAGACTGTATTCAAGGGACAATCTTGCCCCCTGACGGAGAGTGTCTGAGTCACAGCCTTACCGGCCAGAGCGCCCGAGCGTGCTCGGGACAGGGAGACCCCCCCCCCCCCGAAGTTACAAGAAAGAATGCTTTACGCTTTTACACCAACACTTTCACAAACACTTTCTTATCATCCTCTTTCACTCCTTTGGCTACCGGCACAAGCAGCGCACCTGGTGTCACGCCTGGTTCTCGGTAATCGTCCACAGTAGTAGCATTGCGCCCGGAGCACAGTAGCATTGCGCCCGGAGTAGCACTGCGCCCGGAGTAGCATTGCGCCCGGAGTAGCATTGCGCCCGGAGTAG